GGTGTAACAATCTTTAAAAATCTATGGAATGAACTGAGTTAGGTTTGCAATAAAAATAATAATTGTGTAAAAAAAAAACCAAAACAGGAAATGAAATGTTTCTTTATTTAAGAATATAGATAATATACACAAACTTCCAAAAAAAAAAAAAATTTTTTTTCAAATGATGGAAAACATGATTGGCTGATAAATTGAGGGTAGTGAAAAAAATATGAATACTAAAAAGCAAATCAAGGGTGATGCTAACATGAAATATAAGATGAAAGTAGAGTGGGTATGACAATGTGAGTAATTTAGGGAAAGAGATGTTATCATATGTAAAGAGTTAAAGGAGTAGAGCTCCAATAAACAGCTGTTGACAGGGGGTCATTGTAAGTCTGGGTGACGGGTAATATAAATACTTCACACTGTTACTGGAACATTACCAAATTAAGGTAAGATAAAATATTCAGTGTCATAAAAGTTTGGAATTTTTAGGAAAAAAGACCTTTTTTCGGTAATGTACAATAAAGAGTTGTGAAAGAATAAAGATTACAGAGATTAGTATTTTTTTTTAAAAGTAAAATGTAATTCGGCCAACTTTTGCATTTTTTAATGAATATGTATTTGCTGCTATTCCGAAAGCTGAATTCCTCTGATTTAATCCTGATTTTTTGTGAATATGGGTATTTTGTAAAATTGTAGGATTTAACTCAATCAGAATTTAAGTTTAAATTCAAAGTACGGTAAGTATTGAAGTTCCCTAGCTGCTAGTCCTAGTTAAGCATGGATAATTTTGTAAAATTCTTGCACTAGAAGATGATTATAAATATAGTGGGTATTGAATCCCCTGGCGATAGGATCTGATGACCCAGAGACAAGTCTGTCACGGCATAGTTAGGCAGGATTTGGTTGCTTATGTTGGAATAATCTGTCAAATCTTCTGTATTAGGTGGAACACTCTTATGTCAACAAATCTCAGGCTTATGATCAGAGCTTGTTGTCTAAATTCCTTAATTTCCTGGGATATTAAGATATTTCATTTACAAAAACATGTGAAAAATCTTAATTTAGTGAAGACCAATAAAAAATTAATTCATATAAGAAATGAAGATCTTGAAAAAAAAAATTTCAAATATACTTTATACGTATAATTTGGTTTTAAAATGAAGATATTTAATTTTTTTCTCAAAAGATGCCATATTAAATTTGCTTTGATACTTCATATATATTGAATATTAAATTTGCAAGCTTGAAACCAATTGATTAATCAATTTAAGTTTTGGGCTTAAAGATTGAACCTTTACTTGTAGATGTTAATATTTTCAAATTGTTAGGCAGAACTCAATGCATTTGTAGTGATTCAATTGCTCTCTAATACATTTTAAAAGTTTGGGATAAAGCAAATTTTTGGAGGGGAGATCTACCTTAATTAGTTTGCACAAAATATTTATCAAAATTCTAAGGTCTAATTTACTGGAACCAAACATGTAATTTATGTTCCAGGTAATTTGGTGATCATATAGTTTGTTGTACTGGAAAAGGTGCATTTTTATATGGTTGTCCCTATACTTTGTGAAGTCTAGGGTCAACAGTCAAGTTTTTTTCCTCTGTACTGGCATGTAAACAGAGGTTTTTACGAGACAAATCTGTCAGACTTCCTACCACAAGTGACAAGACTGTGTAGTTTTACAGATCACTCCAATGTTTCCCATGTCTTGCCTCATTGACACTGATCTCAACAAAAACCGTCCAAACATGACATCACCAATGTAAAGAACTAGTGCAACAAATAAAAGAATTCAATATTCAGAAAAGTGAGAATGAAATTAAAATTTTCTTTTTGAGATCAAAGACTGCCAGATCCCTTTGTGTTTTTGTGAGTGGTAAATAGAAAGTTGATTGTGATGGGTTTTTCTCGAGTTTTGTTATTTATGTAAGGTTCTATAGACTGATACTGTGTCAGAGGCCAGTGTCTTTTGTCCCGAGTAATGATGTTTAAAGCTACCAATTTTTATTAAATAGAGGTGTGTCAAAATTTATTAAAGAATTGAATAAGAGATATTTTGGGTTTGTAAAAGGATCAAATTTTCATCAGATATGTCACTTTATTCTTTAGATGATACTAACATTGTGTTGACATCCACTTAAAAGGGCTTTAGAAAAATTAGGGATATCAATTAAGGTTACAAAGCACAAAAATTAAGACATTTTAATTATTATTTTTCAATTCCCCCCTTTTAACCTTTCTGCTCTTCTAAATCATTTAATTGAGTCAAGTGTTGTGGATTGTGGTTTTTAATATTTTAATGTGCAATTTATTGAGTTCATCCCTTCTTCAAAAATAATGAAATGTACAATATCAATATTATTCGACACTAAAGTATATTTTCTTTTTTTCAAAATTGAAAGCTACCTGTATGACTGCCAATAATTTGATTTTGCTGCATACAGTCTGATTTAAAAGTCTAGCAGGTTCTCTTGAGGTAGATTGCAGTCAGTGCGTAAGCTGTAGTAATTGTAAGCTAATCCAGGACTAAAGTCTTTACACAGTAGATCATAAACCTGGGCTCTTATGTGGTAATTAGCTGATTTTGCTGTGGTTTACTTTACGTATCAGGGACTTAAGTTACGTGTGAGGTATATGATTTAACCAAAGTCTTTCTGCTGCTTTTGACTTGCAACAGTGCAGTCTGTAAAATGTCTGATGGAATTAGAGACGCCGAGCATTCCATGAATAATTTTTCATTGTTAATGAAATAATAGTTTTTTGGTTAACAGTGTTGGAGTAATGATAGCTTTAGTAGGAAATCTGCATGGATCTTAACATTAATTTGCAGGTAAGAAGTAACAAAAAAGTGGTCATTTCATAGTTGATAGGATCAGAGAAAAAACAAGGAGGGATCTTGGATGTTGCTGCAGTTTTTAGAATCGTTGAAATGTTGTCAAAAAATAAAATAAAAAAATTGAATTTAAAAACTTTTTTCTGCTTTATAAGTGAGATTGTTGAATTCTAGAAAGTACAGGAAAATGTGCTTCTGCTGATTACACTTATAAGTGGATACCTACACATTAATATTTGGTTACCATGTAGTACAAAATAATGGAATATTTGATAAGTTATGATAGATATAACGGAGCAATTTTGGAGACATCCATATTTTTAGTAAAAATTTTCCGTTGTCACACAAGTCTTATCAACTCTTTCAGCATCCTTACATTATTTAATCCTTGACTTAATCTGAAGAGTGATCTTGTCATATGAACTTTGTACATGAAAAGTTCACTGTAGGGAGCAAAAAAGTGACGCTTATTGTTGTGTTGCATTACAATCATGTACTTAAGTACTTTATTCTTGTATTTCATATAGAGAAAATGTAACATTATAATTATGCTAAAAATGTTTTTTGGTTGTAACATTAACAATAGCTAGAATACTTACTACTAGGTGTCATATATTGGTAAGATATTTTGGTTTTATGAAAGGATTGCTAATTCTGCACCCAGTTTGGTCTGATTATTTGTGAATATCAACCCTAGCTCGGTGCAAGTAAGTGAGAATTGGAATGAATTTGTTGTGAGATTTTCCAGTCTTTATGTTTGTCTAAATACATCACTGCAAAAAGAATCAACACATGATAAATAGTTCTAATCTACACATAATTACACTGCATCATTAAAAATTAAAAGATTAATCTTTACATCTCTTCTAATTATTGATTAGAATACTTGGTCAACTTGCTGCATTTCCAGTGCAAGTGTTGGTGGTAGATGCTTTTCTTTTCAAACTGCTTCCATGACATCCACAGGCAACTTCCTTATATATAACAAATAGGGCACATCATCTAACAAATCATCACAAGCTTTGATCTTCTTAAGGCATATTACATGTATAATTGTCGTTTTGCCAAAAAAAAAAAAAAGACAAAACATGATAACTAGTAATGGTCTGATATGGGATTAGAATGATTCCAATCTTGTTACAGGAGAGTAAAAGGCTGATATGGGATTAGAATGATTCAAATTGGGGAGGGATGATGTCAGTGGCTGACTACTCCCTGATTATTACTTTTCTGCCTCACCGTCTATGAGCTTGATCAGCATATTTCTGTAGAAAGTCGGTAACAAATTTAATAAGTGATTTATTTCAGGATCATAGTGTGAGAGACATAAACACAAGAGAGGCCCATAGCAACATTTATCAAAAAAATGGGGGGGGGGGGGACAAAAAAATTGGACAAGCTAGAAGAAATAAAAATCATTCTCTGCTAAATCTTAGGAGGGTTAAAAATCTTCTTCTAAATTGTTGAGAATTTTTTAATGCAATAATGTGGAACACTTTCCACCCTACTTTAACAAAAGGTTTGTGTGTGTGTGTGTTTGGGAGGTGAGGGTGGTAGGACATTTGAATGATATACAATAAAGTCTCCTGCAAACCACTATTCTTAAAACAGTAGAAGCCCCCCTCAACCCCATAGTTCAATGGGCCTGCAAGAAGTGGTGATCAAGTTGATTGAATACAACATATTTTAATTTAAAATTTAAGTGACTCGACATCTTGACTTTCTATCATCTGCAGTGTCATGTTTTGTCCAATTTCACACAGTCACACTCTTCAAAATTATCAATCTTATCTTTTACCAACAATTAAATCTTGATAAATCTTTGAAGCACCTTTATTTGCTTAAAGTAATTTGTTTTTGTTTAGATTCTAATATATTTTTTCCTCTCTTGTATGAGCAATATTCTTGATGCTACTATCACTTGTGATGCAGTCACAACAAATCTGACATCATTTCTTAAAAGGCAGCATCTCTAATTTAAAAAAGAAAACATGATGGAAGGTGGTTTCCGCAATAAATAAATAAATAAATGTAACACATCTGCTATATTGCCAGATATTAACTCTCACCTGCCGGACATAGAAATATAGCTGGCAGTCATGTGTCACATTTAAACTGTGCAACATTTCAATCCAAAGGAAAATAAATGGGATTAGACTAATTCAGATCTCTTTACAGGGGAGGGATGGTGCCCAGCAATGACTGACTATTCCCTGATTGAGGATCTGACACACCTTGTGGGACCCCTCACTGAAGAGACAGTGGTACGATGTCTGCAGGCAAAGTTCTACTCACAGAAGTTCCAGGCAAGTTAAAACTGGTACTAAAAACTGGTATATATGTTCACTTTTGCATATTTCTTTGCGTATCAGTATATAAATGAATATTGATGTAGTTCTTTTCAATGGACCGAATTTTCGTGTTTGTGTATAGCATTTTTGGGAATCTAAAGAGAATCAAAAATGCCATTAGATAATTCTCTTTCATTTGAAAAAAAATTGTACCCTGAAGAAATTTATTCCATTAAATAAGGCTTAAATGTTAACAATTCATTATTTTTTGATAGATTTAATTTTTATGTTTGTGTAAAGCAGGTTATAGATTCTTTAATGTAGAACCCATCGTATTATGTCACAATTAAGTTTTCACAAGGTCTGAAGGAAACCGCTACTACCGTACATGTATCTCATCTGAGCTAACAAAAGTTCAATTATTTGAACAGGGTGCAATTATATTGAAAAAATGCAAACTTGTTAAGAAATCTTAATTCATTTTCCAACAAAAAAGTACCATCATGAGTCATAGGTCTGTTTCAAACTGTGTTTATATACTGTAATATCTATAATGAAACTACCAGGGGTAGGTGTTTTCACATTCTATCCCTAATATTCAAAATATTTGTTAAAACATCTTTGGTGGTTGGTGTGTAAAAAAATTTCCAGAATTATTTATTTTGTAAATCAAAATTAACATTAATTGATAAATATATGCATAGTAAATCTGAGAGTAACTCCATAACAGTCATATACCGGTAATATGTATGTAATTGAATCTATATAGTTAATGCAAAAAGGTCAAGAGAAGTAGTAATAAGGCCATTCCAAGTTTTTTCTCTGTTTAGCGTCCACTCATCTTTCAAAAACCTACTTACCTATTTGCATAAAACACACCAGATAAAAAATAAAACACAGACATCATAGTCATAAAAATGACGTCATTCAAAGGATTTTATTTTATTTATCTATTTTTCTCAAAGAAAAATATATTCTAGAGCAAAATCAAGGTATCAAATGCTTAAAATATTCCTAATATGACATCTTGTAGACAAATACTTAGAGAAACTGACAGAATTCAAAGATTTCTACCATAATATTCAATTTCAGGACTCCTGATTTTGTTTGTTTTATCTGATATGGGGTGTCATAAACCAAGGCGCAAAGTGAACGCTGAACATAGAAAAAACTTGGAATGGCCTAATTAAGAAAATTATATCTTTTATTATTTTGCAAGGAAAGGTATATATTTTACCCACTTTTCACAATCATTATGGTATAATCTTCAACATATTACAGATTGGAAACCCTGTGACAAAAACTTTTGGAAAATATTTAAAAATTGTGGCTTAGATTGACTCAAAATCTCTGGAAAATATGTATTGAGCTAGAGTGCATTTGCTTAAATATTTCATGTTATGTGGGCTTAAACTTTTATGTTATTTTAAAAAAAAGGAATTTATACTTGAGTAAAATTGCTGACAAATTTTCAGTAAATAAAATCAGTAAACAATGATATTTGAAAAAGTTTTTTTTATTATTTTCTGTCCAGTCCTTTTGACAATGTACCTTTAAAACAGATGAAAATCCGTAGTTGCAGTGTTTAGTGATTGTTTCAAGTTGCACAGACTGCAGTACATTCATTAACAAGGAAACATTCCTTTTAATTTGAATTAATAAGCAAGTGCTAATTAATGATTTTGGAAAGTTTGAAAATCCTGTGACAAAGACTTTTCAGACATAGGTTCTACCTTAAGAGTGGAAAAGAATATGTCTTAAGATAATTTATCTTTTCTCCTTAAAAGATTGCATTGAAAAAAAGACATTTATATTTCTGTATAAAGGTATCTCAAAGTTTTCATCACATTTTGGGTACATTTTGTGTTTTGTATTTTTTATAGGAGTATCAGGCTTAATATAACTAAAACTTGGTAGATCATTCACAATGAAAGTCTTTAAAGTTCACAGTTTAATTTTTATCCATATTCTATAAGTTTCAAAGTAATCCCATAGTCACACCCTTAGTTAAGACTAATTAAAATATTTGCCTTTCTGCAGTGTAAGCTAGGGCCAGTGAATGTCTCTCTCAACAACTACCGGTACCGCCCCACAGCCCGCTGTCTGGTGGAGTCAAGTAGACCTACCTCATTACTGGACAGTCTCGTGAGAGAGGCGGTCACTCAGCACACGGACACTGGTCACTCTCAGGCCATCATATGCAGGTATATTTATAGACATTCTTACAGATGGTTATATATATTCATGTATATGTAATTCGTTTACTCAACAATTTTTTCATTCTCAAGGTCTATGACAAATAAGGACAATATGTTTTATATATGTATGTCAATATATGGATGATGAGTTCCTTATAAAAATTATATTTTTTAGGTTGCTAGCCTTTGTCAGAAATTCTTTAGCATTTTTTCACCTGCTTTTCTCCCATGAATTCAAGTCTGTTTTTTATGATGGCGGAATAATAAATGATTTTTTACTCCGAACGTCTGTCGGCTGTTTTGCTCCATTAACACCAATAAAGAACCATAAATTAAACATAAGTACTTTACAAGACAATTCATTTAACAGCCATAACTACATCAAGATTTTATTAAAGGTAGAACTAGGAAGATGTCAATATTTTATGATAAATAGTGTGAAAAATCTTAATCTGATAAAAAGAAATTGAAGATTTGACAGAGAGGATATGGTGTGAAGGTTCCTTTTTGATGTAAGTTATTACACCTTGAATAACAGCATGAGAAAAAAAAACCCAAAAGAGATGTCATTTTTAGATATCAATGATGCCTTAAGGAATGTGATGTTGTCAAATTAATGGTAAAAAAATTGGGTTTTTTTTTATGAAAGAGAAAGGGTTCAAACAAGTTAAGGTTTTATTACATCCAATATGCATATATTAACATTTTTCTGCACAATTAGAAAAATCAAATTACCACAATCAAATTCTCCATCATTAAAGGATATACTCGGTACCCACTTGAATGTAGGATCACATACATTCCTTCTTATTACATGTATACCAGATGACTACAATATCTTTTTCTATTGACATACTGTAAAATAACATATTTTTGAGGGGTGAAAATTTCAAGGTTTATGGAAAAATTATTGGTTCAAAGATATTTGATTTCATGATTGAAGAAGTGCAGCATTGTTACACATTAAAAATTTTACAGTTTGTCATGGATATGAATTTGTGGGTGTCTTCACACCACGAAAACAATGGAAGAACCCCCTCAAAAAATTTGTGAATTCACAATTGTAGACAAATTGACACTATACCTTTAAGATGCTGGCCTTGTATGAACTTTGTACATAAGTTGAAGATGAGAGTTGTAATCATCCATTTCTTATGTAGCCATCATTTTTCCATTCTGACATGACACAAATTGTTCATGCATTATTTGTGCTTTTGAAAATTGCAGTATATTGAACTTAGATGTCAAATATCTTGGTATGTCAAAATGATTTAATACTGACTTTTTTCCTCAACTTTGATATATTGAATTCTTGGATAACTGAAAACTTCTTTTCCACCAGTCATGATAAAAATAACAAGGTTTGACCGACTACCAAGAAGAAAGTCTATTTAAAAGTTAATGTTTTAAGTTCTCATTCCAAAGGAACTCCAAGGTTACCATGTACCTCTCTATCTTTTCAGTGGTGAGAGTGGCAGTGGTAAGACATTTTGCGCCATGCATATGTTACGCCAGCTGTTTGACCTGGCTGGTGGCGGCTCCGAGACGGATGCCTTCAAGCACCTGTCTGCCACACTGACAGTTCTCAGATCTCTATGTTCAGCTGCCACAGTCACGAACTCGGAGTCAAGCCGAGTGGTAAGATGTCATATTTGATTGAAAAAAATAATTATTTTTCCATATACATGAATAAATGATCCATTATGTGGTTTATTTTTTCCTTGAATGTTTTTCTACAGAATTTGTTTTTAATTATTTTAATGACAATAATTTTTATTTTAATGCACATTCAATAAGGGCTTCTTCATAGAGAACTTCATCACAGATTCAGCCATTTACAGAACAAAGATCCATTCCTACCTGCTGGACAGGGTATGTTGAAGTTACCTGCATAAATATATACCATCTGTATCTTGGTTTGTACACACATGTACATGTATATACTTCAAAGCATTTTAGAAGTAATAAAAACTTCATTTTTAGATAATTTTTATTTGCATTAGATGTAAGTTTATTTTTTCAGGACAGGGTGTGTTCAGTTCAGCAAAATGAGAGAAACTACCACATTTTCTATCAGATGTTAGCAGGTCTAGGATCTGAAGAAAAAGGTGCAAAGAATTTATATATGAATAATATAAAGAATGGTTGTTTCTAACCATTACTGATTACTGTGTGTGTTTATTACTGAATTCCCACTAAAAACCACACATTATATTAAGTAAATATCTTTTACAGCCAAACTTCACCTGACAGGGTACTCCATGCATAACCTTAGCTACCTCAGTCTCGGCAACACTCATATCTGGAACGAAATGGAGGAAAAGTCTCGATTTGATGCATGGAAGGTCAGTATTGGGAAAAAAATAATGAAGAATGTCTATATTAAAAAAAAGCATATGTTAAGACTAATGATGATTGGTTTTCGTTTTCTTGACATTTGTAGAGTTCTTTGGGTGTACTTGGGATTCCTTTCTCTGATGTCATGAGGATTTTCTCCGCCATCTTGTTGCTGGGTAACATAGAATTTATGGAAGGCACTGGAATGGAACTAGATATTATTGGGAACAATGGTTAGTAAATTTATAAAGTCTATATAGATCTTGTACTTTTAAAGAACAAAGTGTTACCTTCTTAGTTTATAAATCAATTAGCAAAGCTTGAATTCTCTTTATTATCACTTGGAAAAAAAATGCAAGGGGATAAAGTGTTTACCATGTATGTGAAGTTTCTCCATCCCTATTTCCATAAAAATCTTGAAAATACAATATAGAGAACCTTTTGACTTTCTAAATTTATATTTGCTCCAAAGATTCCAAAAAGTTAAAAAAAATAACAGCACATTCTGAACACTGAGAATGTGTAATATTTAATAGAAATCAAGGCAGTGGCAGCATTACTCGGAGTGTCTGGGGTAGCTCTTTACAGAGGATTCACAACACGGACTCGAAACACACGAGGTCAGCTGTGTAAATCACTGGCAGATGCCAATACAGTAAGTACTCAGTATTCTGAATATTAGTTTTGATTTTCACTGTGTCACCAAAAAATAAGTAAACAGCTTTATTTTTAAAACAATTCAGAAAATCTTTTATTGAAATATGATAGAGTGTAAATATGAATGTTTTAACATTACAGGCAAATGCCACAAGAAATGCCCTTGCAAAAGCGCTGTACAGTCGAACTTTTGCAGCCATATTAAAAAGGGCTAATAGTTTAAGACGACCTAATATCAACTCCTCGCTATCTGGCAGCACAGAGTCAAATCTTCATCATGGTAGGCTTTTCTTATTATTTTGTGAATGGAAATGGTGAAGCAACAGAAGGAGAAGAGAAGATGTTTTACAATACCATTTCTGTATTTGATTTTCAGTTGATCCAGGAGGGATGTCTTTCTCAGAGCAGATGTTTTCAAGAAGTTCATCCATTAGGTCTGGTTATGAGAAAACTAAATATGATGGCTTTATTAGCATCATAGATATGTTTGGATTTGAAACAGCACAGGTAATCTTTATAGATGATTTACTTCATTGATAAATATTTTTACAGAGCTTGGAATAGATTTATGAACATGCCAAAGAGTGAATAAACTATTTTTCTTGCAGAAAAATCAGCTAGAGCAGTTTTGTGTTAATTTGTGTGCTGAGACCATTCAGCATTTTTACAATACACACATATTTAAGAGCACCATGCAGGCCCTGAGGGATGAAGATATTCAGACTGAGGTTGAAGTTCGTTACCTTGACAATGAACCAATCTTAGAGCTTTTAACCTCACAGGTACAATCCTTAGTTTCTTCTCTTTATTATAATTTTTAAAACTTTTCTTTGATGAAGTATTGTTAATTTTCTCCTTTTTTTATCAGAGGAATGGAATTCTTAGCATTCTGGATATTGAGTGTGCTCAACCTAGAAGTAGCGTGGAGATATTTACAACAAAAGTAAAAGCTCACCATAGAGTCAATAATTAGTAAGTATTCATCAGCATTAATATTTTTTTTTATTTTTAAGTAATTGGAGATTTACACTTGAACTTTGGTATCTGAAGAGCCAAGATGTGGAATAAAAAAAGCAACTTTACAGTTTAACACCAGGTTAAGTTTGTTGATCTTCATTTTCTCACAAATTCAGATATCTCCAGATTTTTTGGTAAGTCCTACAGAGATAGAGGTTAAACTGTGTATGTAATGAAAACAGTCTAAAGACTGAGTAAGTTCCTTGGTGTTTGAGAAATAATGAGAAAATTAAAAAAAAAATTAATGAATACTCTCTTGATTTCAGTTTCTTTGAGCCTTTACCAAAGGCAGATGGTGTCTTTGGTATCCGCCATTTTGCTGGCAGAGTGGTGTATGATACCAGTACTTTTCTGGAGAACAATCGTGACACTCTACCAGATGATGTGGTGGCCGTATTCTCTAAACAGAACTGTAATTTTGGATTTGTGTCTCATCTTTTTGCTCAGGAAAACAAACCAAACACTGGTGGTAAGTAAGGGTGTCATTATCCTTGATTTTTCTTTGTTAAAATTGTCACATGATTTAAGCATAAACATGAACACTAAATGGTTACAGATTTAAGCTCAGGGCCTCAAGGATTGAAGTATAGAATCTTGCCAAATTCTTCTGACTTCAAGTAAGATATTAATTAAGCATTTTTTTTTACCATCTCTTCAAAATTTTGATGAATAGATAAGGGTACATGTATATAACAAATTTTTTTATTTGAATTATCTTTATTCTAAATTTTAGGTTGAATGGAACAAGAGGCACTCTCACTTCTGATTTCCAAACCAAGCTAGACAATCTGTTGAGGACTCTGGTGCATGCCAAACCACACTTTGTCCTCTGCTTAAAGGTATGGGTTAATTTTATGGTATCATGTGTATATTAAAACTCGAACATGATTCTTTGGAACATACCTTGAAAGAAAAGTGAGATATTGAGATTGTTTGATTCATGACAAGATGAAGTAATTTTTTGTGTGTTTATTTCAGTCCAATGACCGAGGGGAGATGGACATGTTTGATGGGGACGTCATCATCCGACAGCTCAGGTCATTACAGGTTCTAGAGACTGTCCATTTGATGGCTGGAGGTAACTCGGTGATCATTCCCCCTTCAAACGTACACTTTTTGCAATCGTGACTCATGTATTGCTTTATCAAGATTGATCCAATGGATGTGTGCATTAATGTCTTTTATTTATTCAAAGGAATTCCCCATAGAATGAGATACAAGTCATTCAACAACAGATATAAGATATTCTTTGGTCATATGAAGCCTTATCAACTGGAAACTCAGCAGGACCAGTGCAAGGTAAAGATCAAATCTCTGGGTTATTGTGTTTTAAAGGGAGATAACTTGGTATGAATCCCTATTTTCTATAAAACACCCAAAAGAAAAAGCAAGATAAATTATAATATGACTAGATGACAAGATAAATGTTTATGATTTCTGATGTACTCCATATACTTGAAAAGTATTCAAAATCAAACCAAATGCTTATATTGTTGCCACTGATGAACTGTAGAATTTTTATATTTTTTAACTTAAGGCCATACTCAACAGTTTTCTAAAAGCTATGGATGAAAGCAAGCTTCCCTACGTCAGCACACAATGGATGTTTGGGAAAAAACACCTCTTCTTCAGGTATTTATGTATGACATTTCATCTCACATGAATGACATTGGTAATACACAATTTATATTAATTTATAAATCATAATATATCAGTTTTCATGGATTGCTCAAAATTTACAATTTCAGATAAAGTTTGTACATTAATATTTATCTCTGTTGTAAATGTATGAAAAATGAACCCTGACAAAATATACCAGTCATGATCCTATAGTAACCAGTACTTTGTTGAGGTAAAAATGTTGTTAATTTGTAGTGAGGGAACACGGCAGCAATTAGAGGCAATGAGAGCAGAGAAAATCAACAAGGCAGCGTCCATTATACAGGCCTACTGGAAAGGTCTACAATGCCGGAAAAACTGGACAAAGAGGAGAAAGCAGCTTCTGTCAGATAGGGAGTCAGTTAAATCCTCTCAAACCAGCTCCACACGGTAAATGTCATTAGAAAGATATTCATAATGCAGCAGTTTTAGAAGAGAAAGTTACATAGAGTCAAACCTTGTTATCTAGAACTCGACAGGACCAAGATTATATTTTGAGATATCCGATGATTTGAGAAAACCAGCGTAAAAGAACATAAAGAATAAGGGGTTGGGATGGCAAACTCACTTTAATGTATCCTGGTTTTCGAGAACTTGGTGTTCGAGATAACAAAATTCAACTGTACTTGCATTTTTTGTATTTGTAAGTATTACGAGAAAATAAATTTGACAGTTTGTATATTTTCATTTTTTAGGAAATCAAACAAATCAAAGAAAATTGGCATCATTAGAAAAGATGAGAATCTTCTACAGCAAGCATCGAAGTATTACAATATATGTTTGGTAGGTGTGTTTGTAATTGAAGTCATGCAGACTGAGATGTTTTGATGATATCAGTACAGGAATTTTTATGGTTAGGATGTCACATTATATGAAAGTTTGAATCAATATATTGAATTTACAGGAGACTGCTCCCTCAGTTCCCCCAAACAGATCCTACTGTGTAGCCGGGAAAAATGTCAGGTTAGGATATCCTCATCATAGGATCATGAAGGATGATTTTCCAAGTAAGTTGTCAATTTTTTTTTTTTATAATTAAGGTGATCTTTTACAACTTTTCTTTGTGTGTGAGAAATATCTGCAAGTTTCATTACCTTGTTTTACTCATGAATATTTCTTGCCTCAAACTATTTATTTCATTGTGTATTTATGCAGAATATATCCTCAGTCGTGAAAATAAGTTGCCATGGATAGATTTCAAACTGACAAATCACAAATAAAAATTATCGCAAATAATAGTTGGTTTACAGTAATTTATTTTTAGTTGTGGTTTTATTCTTCCTTCATTTAAGATGACATAGTCAAATTTTCTGCGTTTCATGTACAGTCACATAGAAAATGAAAAGTTTTAGAATATTGCATATAAAATTACTCAGGGTGTAATGAAGCCTGATACCTATATCAATTTGCACTGTTGATATTTGATAAAGGAAAATTGTGAACATGCAGCAAAATATTTTTACAAAGACTTGCATGCATTCTGAAATTATCTAACCAATAACTCCCAAATTTTCTCCAGGAGGTTAATGTTTATTTATTACTTGTACGTTTGTTTACCACATGTATTGTACAGTCAAACCTCGTTATCTCAAACTCAATGTGACCGAGAAAAAACTTCCAAAGGTTTGAGATATCGAGGGTAAAATACTTAAGAAATACGTGCATGGTTAGGACTTCCCAGTAACTTCGACATATCCATGGTATTCGAGATATCTGTGTTCGAGATACCGAAGTTCAACTGGATATATTTTAATTATCAGTCGTGCATTTGTTATTAATTTTTTTGCTTCTTATGTGTTACCATGTATACTTTGCTTATCTCCCATGTCCTGGAGATAGATCAGTTTTAATTAATGCACTGCAAGTCAGTTGTCAGTCCCCATGATCCAATATGTGTTTTTGTACATAATAATTAAACTTTGTCACTATAACATTGTTGAGTTTTATATAAACTATAATTATATATTTGTTTTTAAACAAATCAATTTTGGATAAATTCAAACATTATTCACTGACATATACCTTATTTTATGACATAAGAGTTTGGATCATTACAACATGTAATTTTAAATTCTGACTCAGTATTGAAAAAGAATTTATATTTTGAATATTCAAAAACTGTAGGCTCTCTGTTATTACAAGATTTTTACCTTGAGAATCTGTTTCAAACAATATACTAAGGGTCTTGTGCAAAGAAGTCATGACTTTAATTGTAACTGCAGGTATATAGGAAATTCCTCTTGGAAAAAGTTTATTCATGTTTTTTTATTTCTTTTTCCGTCAGAGGGACCTGTGAATGGAGCAGTGCTTTCTCGGGGGGAGGAGGTGGATGTTGTCGGTCCATCCTCAAAACGAGGTCACCTGATTGTGAAAAACAAAGACATTGTGATGGATGTACCATATCATTTACTGGACCTCCAGGTAAGGTTTCAGAAATATAGGAAATTTGACAGTATCCGAGTTGATGCAAAATCTGATATTCCCTATAAAACCTCGTACTGGTAATTCATTAATTTCTTTTTATCTCTTTGAGATATTCAAATAAAGGGGTAAATCTACAAAGTGTACATTATTTATTATTTTTGCAGACTGTTCCAGAACTACCAGCAATGGACATATGACAATCAAAAACTCCAGAAAAACAGTGCAATTTTAACATAAACAGTTTAATATTATGGTTCAGCAAATATTTGTTACTAACTTATTTATGTAGATGTATTTCAGTTGTTTGTTGTGCAGATGTTGTTGATTCATCCATTTGATTTTAATGATTGCTTTTTCATTTTCATTCATACTTAGAATTAATCCTGAATGTAATGTAATATTGTTTGATTTTTATAAAATTGTACATGTATATGGATTCATTTAAAGAAAAACCCACACAACTGTACATATGCTATGACTGCCCTTTCCATTATCAGGAAAAGTTAAACCTTGTTTTCCTGAGGTCGACTAGATCGACCAACAAAAAAAATTTCCAAATGTTCAAAATATTGAAGTTCAGAAATTCATAAACTGGTTGGAACCATAAAATCACATCAACATATCCATTATCAACATATCAGTATTTGAGATACTGAAGTTCAACTTACTTAAATTTACCAAAATGGTAGTATTCATTTTACTGGAAGATGGTAGATTATCATAACTATATATTAAGAAATCTGTAATCATATATAAGACCTCTTGTGTACTTCAATATTTTTTTCAATTAATTGATATATGTATCCAGATGGGTTACCATAATGATATTGAAGCCTTGCCATTCACTATATATTTCTATTGTGCACACTGCTTGCCACAGTAAGGGCATGACATTACATGTATTTATATTTAAGTTCCATTTTTTAATCAAATCATTATGTATGAAAATGTGTTCTTGATATCATAGCATTCATAAATATCATTTCATTAATCTTAATATTTCTCAATGAAAACTCAGCAAATTTAATTTTTTTCTATGCATTATTTAAACTGACAAGCTAAAGTTAAAAAAAAAAGAAAGAAAATTATTAAGACAATCTATATGATATAATCTAAATTTTTTACATTTGCACGTTTTTCCTTATATAACATTATTTGAACAAGGTGTATTTAAATCAGTCTCAAATGTAAATATAAGTAATAAGGTATCATTTTTAAACATTTATCAGAATGTAAAGACGTATTGGTACATGATCAAACCTACCATAATGCCCCAATACCGGTACCATAAATCCCTTGGGGCTTTATGGGATTTAATCACATGACCAACCAAAATTTACATCCAGATAAAAATTTTAAAATGATACCTTATTTCTTAAATATTATAATTTTGATGGAATCTATCATACATATCTTTCATAACCCATTTTCTTTCATTTCTACCATTTTAAAAGAATGAAACTCAGGGATGTGTTCACCAATTACTGTGTAGATTTTACTAGCTGTTATATAAGGAAGGTGTGTTATAAATAGTGCTGTCTTGTAACCTAAATGGCTTTTTGTTTTGTGATAAATACGGGCAGGTATTTGTCTTAGCTGTCTGTTTTGTGTTTTTGATGTGTTTGTAGATCAAAGTACATACATGTAGTTGATTTGATCAAGGGTGATGATATTTTGAATTAATTGGTTTCATTGAACAAAATCAATTGTTGTTAACAAACTTGTTATAAATTCAAGCCTATGTACTTATCAGATTATGTACTTACAGTGTTATGGTCTGCAATTTTGTATATCTTTTTGATGTCACTCAAGTCAAAGAAATGGTTCATATTTTAAAAAAAAAAATGACTAGGGAGAAAATTCTCATCAGTTTCAAAATGTATCGTTATGTTGATGTTGCATGCATGATGCAAACATATTAGTTCACTATTATAAAAAAATATTTATTTTTGAAAGACGTTGAGTAACAACATATGACAACATTCTGTAAGAGAGATAAAACTTGCTGGAGCATGCCTTTGCATTGCTTTATATCAAAATTTTCCTCATAGATCCCAAATCTAGCTGTAAATGCTCTGCTATTTTCAGGAATTTTTTTTTCTTTTCTTTTTTTTTTTTTTTTTTTGCAGATATGGGGGACTGACAAACTAATTTTTATTTACTTAATTTTTATTCACAGAAAATCTGCTTGAATTTTGTTTGTTTTGCAATTTTTAGAATCATCATAACCTTTGAGTAAAAAAAAAAATTAGTATGCCTACCTAGTACATGTACTTGTATTAACATTTGCAAAATTGCTGATCAGATGTACATCACATTTAATGTAGAAAGTTCTGAATGTTCAAATTGACCAATCAATATTGTATATTATTTGTTATTGTTTCTTTATAAATTTGTTATATAAATAATTACCTCAAATACTGTGATATTTCTAGATAAATAATGTGTGTGAATGAACACAATAATAGCTAGAGTTGATTTTGTTTTGCATCCATATTAGTTGATTGTGGTCAAACATGCAAAAAACACTGCTTTTAAAAAGCAACAAGTGCCAAAAAAAAAAAAAAATCACAAAACACCCCCAGAACATTTAAGAATTCAGCCTTCATATAATTCCAAGATATCCTTTTCTTTATTTTTCTTAAACCCCAATAGAATAAACAAAACAGGAGGGCAAAGGGCCACAACATTCACCAGGGTCACCTGATTTTTTTTTTCTTTATATATATTCTCATGCAAAATTTTGACCCCCAAATTGTGGCCCCACTTTAGCCCTAATGGTTCATGACTTAACCAAACTTAAATTCATAGTACATGTACATGGGGATGCTGAATATCAATATTACAAAAGTGAACTTGTTCTCGAGAAGATTTTTTTTTCTATGTGGATGTATTATGTAAAATCTGATTTCTAATTGACTCCAGGGATATAATTCGAACAAATATGAATCTGCACTACATTGAGATGCATATTTTAAAACATGAGTCATTGTTGCATTGCTGCTTTTGCAACGAGGTAAAAGTTTGATTCCCTATTTTGGCCCACCTTACCCCTAAGCAATAACTAGAATGCACAAGAGTCTGCACTAGCTGAGGATACGCTAGAGCAGACTCTGAGTATGGTCAACTTTTAAACAGGCATGATACTGAGAAAGAAGTTGATGTCACGGGGCTTTCAACAGTCTCAAACAAAGCATTTTGAAAATTTCTGCACAGATTGATGGCAAATAAATTTATTTTTTCATTTTTTGCCCACCTGAGCCGAAGGCTCTAGTGAGCTTTTCTGATCAAAATTTGTCCATTGTCGTTGTTGGCGTTGTAAACTTTTCACAATTTCATCTTTTTCTCCAGAACTACTGGGCCAATTTCAACCAAACTTGGCACAAAGTATTCTTGGGTAAAAGGGATTCAAATTTGTTCAAATGAAGGGCCATCCCCTCCTCCAAGGGGACACAATTTCGAAATAGCGAAAAATTAAAGGCATCATTGAAAAATCTTCTTCTCAAGAACCAATGGACTAGGAAAGATGAAACTCATATGGAATCATTGTCAAGTAGTGTAGATTCAAATCTTGACCCTAGTAGGGGTAGGGTGGGGCCACAGTGAACGATCAGAGTTTTACATAAGACTATATAGGAGAAATCTTTAAAAATCTTCTTCTCAAGAACAGCAAAGCAATGATTGGTCATATTTATGTGAAAGCATCCTCAGGTGGTGTAGATTCAATTTTGTTCAAATCATGACCTCCAGGGGTAGGATGGACCCACAGTGAACCATCAGAATTTTACATATGACTATTTTGGAAAAATCTTTAAAAAACAGCAAAGCAATGATTGGACATATTTATGTGAAAGCATCCTCAGGTGGTGTAGATTCAATTTTTTTCAAATCATGACCTCCAGGGGTAGGGTGAAGCCACAATTGATGATCAAAGTTTTACATAGGAGTATATAGGAAAAATCTTCAAAATTGTTCTTCTCAAGAACAGCAAAGCCATGATTGGTCATATTTATATGGAAGCATTCTCAGGTGGTGTAGAGTCAAGTTAAAAAATATTAGTTCTTCCTTTGATGAATTAAAGATACTCTTAAACTTGGAAGAAAGTAGATTAAAATGTGTTTGTTCTGAATTTTTTGGACGACCTAAATGTTTGCTTGCACAGCATAACGAATTGCATATTTGAACAAATTTGATGTTTCTTATTTGGACTAGATTTATCATTCCTCTTAATAAAAAAAAAAAAAATCAAAGATGGAACATTTACAATGCACATTTGGGACGAGATATGAATAATTATCTGATCAAGTTTTTTTTTTTGGATTCCATTCATTTGCGGTTTCTGGGAAGTTTTACTTGCAGTTTAGGTTAAAATTGCTTGCATCTCCACATACATACTGGATAGTAATTAATGCTTGTTCTGTCTGTTTTAATGAAAATTTAACAAACATTACGTAATTCATCCTCACAATGTCAAACCTAGGGTTTGTGTGGAGTTACGAAATCACAAAACCTTGACATTGTGAGGATGTACGTAATTATTCTTATTCAAATTGTGAGATACGTTTGCTATGTGTCCAGTATGGTGGCATATTTCTGCCCCATCTATGCAAGTTATTTTTCTATAGATTATGTTGACATGCAAGATAATTATGTCAACATGCAACATAAATATGTCAACATGCAACATAACTCTGTCAACATGCAAGAAAAATATAATCAATTAAGGATTTAAATTTTTTTTCCCAAAATTATCAAATATCGCCACAATGTGACTTCCAACATGCTAGATGCAACTTATTTATGTTGACATGCAAATTATTTATGTTGACATGCGAGATAAATATATCAACATGCAATATATATATGTCAACATGCAATTTATTTATGTTGACATGCAACTTGTTGTATTTTGACATGCAACTTATTTATGTTGACATGCAACTTATTTATGTTGACATGCAAGATAAGTATGTTCGCGTATCTATATATTTTGGCAGAAAGGCAATAAAACTTTTTGCAGAAAAGTAAAAATGATTATTTTTTTTCAAAAATTGCCAAAATGTCCTTAAGGACTTCGTTCCGCAATTTACCTGTCGCAAAGAGATTAAACCGGGTTAATATTAATTCATGGATTTATTGGAAATACTTAAACAATAACATAAGTTCAAATTAAATATCTTACAGCACCAGGAGCATTACGAAAGAGTAACAATTAAAGAAAAACTTGATCTTCTCTGTAAAGAATATTAAAAAATATACATAACAAACGAAGTTTCTAGGATTGAATTTTAAATGACTGTCGTAAACAATTTTAGTGCCCGAACAAACATGTAAGATGTTTTGGCACAAAATTTATATTCAAAGGCGGTTAATATAGTAACTCTCATGCAAACATATAGTACATTTTATGTAGTGGTATATACTAGAGTTTGTGTTATATGTTAATGATTATCTTGCATGTCAACATAAGTAAATTGCATGTCGACATAAATAAGTTGCATGTCAACATAAATAAGTTGCATGTCAACATATTTATCTCGTATGCTAACATAAATAAGTTGCATGTCAACATAAATAAGTTGCATGTTGACATAAATATGTTGCATGTTGACATAAATATGTTGCATGTCAACATATTTATCTCGCATGTCAACATAAATTAGTTGCATCTAGCATGTTGGAAGTCACATGTGGGCGATATTTGTTAATTTTGGAAAATTTTTAAATCCTTAATTGATTATATTTTTCTTGCATGTTGACATAGTTATGTTGCATGTTGACATATTTATATTGCATGTTAACATAATTATCTTGCATGTTGACATAATCTTTAGAAAAATAACTTGCATACAGGGGGCAGAAATATGCCACCATAGTCCAGAAAAAAATGACATGTATATACACGGTAGATAGACAATAAAAACAATTCTCTCTCTCTCTCTCTCTCCGAATCATCAATTTTAAAAGTAAAACATTTAAGAAAAGACAAAATTATGAATTTTTATTATGTTTAGTTACGTTTGGCTAGTCAGTTTAAAATACTGAATTTTTTCAAATTATAAAAAGCACATTTTTACGCACTTCCGGAATTACCGTGAGCAGTATTTAGTATTCTCAGTAATATGGCTGGCCGTCCTCTTCCAGATATTTCACTTATTCTGAATATTGCAAGATACGAATTACCAATGCAATAAGGAGGAGAAATAGGCTTTTTGTGAGTATTTATGATGTGAAATATGTTTCAACAGGGAATGTTCAGTTTTTGCTAGTAGGTTTAAGGTTAAAGTTAAACGAACAATCATAACAATGGCCAGTGGAAATTTACATATGCATGAGAGCAAGGTGTAGAATTAAAGTAAGGACTGAGTTATCAGATGATCACAATAATTGAATAGTTTATTTTTGTGAGTTCTCAAAACTTGTTCGCGGTATTAGTTTTTTCGGTGACATTTATATCTGGTTTATAGCTCAGTTTGAGTAAGCTAAAATATATTCCCAAAATGCACCCCTGTTACCGCGATTCCAGCTACTTACTGGAAAGCTCACTTAGGATGTACAGTTTGGTGGTGCTAAGGATCACATTCGGAATCTGCCCGAGCCATGACATAACTCAAGTGCAGCATTGCTAAATATGTGTTGATTTCTGTGTATTTTGCGCGTCAGTAAATTAAAGCAAACGTCCATAATATATTACTGAAGACATTTATAACCATATTAAATTGATCACTGCAGCTAAAGAAAATAAAGAATAGAAAAAAATATCTATATCAAGTACCTCATTTCTCTCTCCATAAGGGTCTCAATCCTTAAAAAAAAATACACTGAAGCAAAAAAAAAAAATGTTGCAAGAGTTACAATTGAACAATCAGTTTGAAATATTTGACGTTTAAAGATTTGATTACGATATCAACCAGACAAAAAAAAAACAAACAAACAAACAAAAAACAAAATGCGTTTCTGAAACACTGATGCCCCCGTATGGCAACTTATAGCGAAGGTTGAACTTTCTCAATTGCAAATCAAATATGTAGGTACCCAACCTGTGAAATATGAAAGCTCTAGCAGCAACCATTGAAGAGATATGGAAACAGTTAAAGTTTTTCAAAAGTGAGTCAAACATTAAGGTCATGGTCAAATGGTCAAAATTAATGGTGCTCAAGGAAAGACATTCTCACAAGAAATACACATGTGAAATATGAAAGCCGTAGCACCAACCATTCAAAAGTTATGGTCAAGGTTCAAGTTTTTCAAAAGTAGGTCAAACTCCAAGGTCAAAAGTTCAAAGTTGTTGGAATGCAAAGTAAGGTCTTGTCACAAGGTTTACATACGTGAAATGTAAAAGCCCTGGTACCAACTGTTCAAAAGTAATAGCCAAAGTTAAAGTTTTTTCAAAAGTAGGTCAACCTCAAAGGTTAAGATCAAAAGGTCAAAGTTGTTGGTATCCAAAGTAAGGTCTTGTCACAAGAAATACATATGTGAAGTATGAAAGCCCTAGAACCAACTGTTCAAAAGTAACGGCCAAGGTTAAAGTTTTCCAGAAGTAGGTCAAACTCCAAGGTCAAGGTCAAAGAGTAAAAGTTCTTGGGATCCAAAGGAAGGTCTTCACAAAGATGACTTATGTGAAGTATAAAAGCCCTAGCACCAACTGTTCAAAAGTTATGGCCAAGGTTAAAGTTTTTCAAAAGTAGGTCAAACTCCAAGGTCAAGGTCAAAGGGTAAAAGTTTTTGGTATCCAAAGAAAGGTCTTGTCACAAGGATTACATATGTGAAGTATGAAAGCCCAAGCACCATCTGTTCAGAAGTTATGGCCAAGGATAAGGTTGGGTAAAATTTTGCAAAACTGGGTCAAACTCCAAGGTCAAATATGATGGTACCCAAATAAAGGTCTTGTCAAAGGGAATACACATGTGAAATATGAAAGCCATAGCTTCAACCAATCAAAAGTTATGGGCAAGGTTAAAGTTTTTGCGGACAAACAGACATACAGACAGACGGGCGGACAAGGCAAAAACTATATGCCCCCCCGAATCTTTGATTACGGAGGCATAATAAGCGCATTTGTACACACCATGAAAAGTATTCTCAATAGAATAGCGAGAAGTCCTTTTCCAGACATTTCATCGATTCTGAAAATCCTAGGATAAGAATTACTCAAAAGGAGGAAAAATATTTTTTGTGATTTTTTATACTATTGTTTATGCATGTGAAAGGTATTTTAAGAGTGACACAGATTCGCTAGTGGGTTTAAATAACGGTAAAGTTAAACTATATAGCAATCTTAACAGTGTCTAGACCCCCCCCCTTTTTTTTTTTAAAAAAAAGAATACGTCTGTTTAAATGTGTAAATAAATAAAGTAATAAGTAAAGTTTTTTTTCAGAGCATCAAATTCACACTTTAATTACTTAATATGTATTATATTTTGAAGTAGTCTTATGTTGTATATAGTAAAGCCACGCTTCTGTTAGCTTTACTACTGGTGGGTTAACTCTAGTTTAGGATTTAAAATCTGAATTTTGTAGGTTCAAGCCAAACTATGGTAAAAATTCTGTGATTTATCAAGAGTTGTTTGGTTATAAGCAATATAAATATTTCACCTCAGAATATGCTTGAGGTTCTAACATCACAGGCATTTTTTTTATTTTATTATTATTATTTTTTTTGTTCACAAACAAATGCTGTTCATTTTTCTGATAGAAGATATAAATGCTTGGAATTTTAAACACTACATCGAATTACCAAAATAAATAAAAAAATAAATAAATAATAAAAAAAGGTATAGTTTTCAGTAGCGTACCGAGTAGCCGATATAAATTTGATCTGCCAATGAACACAATTTTAGATCTAGGTGACATTACTTGAACAGGTTGAGTAAACTTCCTTTAAGGAAGGCATTTTTCATCACGTGACAATGTTTTCGTCAAACTCATTCTCCAATCAATTGAATGAATCGCAAACAATACGGTCTACTACGTGTTTACGATTCCATATAGCGACATGGTTTTGGACGGTTTAATCCATACCCTAACAAAAAATTACTATAGTTAACTATGGTTTACTATAGTATCAAAGTTTTTACGATAGTATCAAAGTTTTTACTATAGTAAATTAAAGTGTCTATGAATTACGAATTGTTATAGTTTGTTACATGTATCTTACTCTAAAATTGGATTCTTTGATATTAACAGAAAATATTACTTGTTGGATTGAAATTTTTAAAAAATAATGAATTTAACTCTCAAAAAAAAGTTCTCGAGTAAAGTTCTATAGATAATCAAAGTACATGTACTAAAGTATTTACTATGGTAAAATATAGTTAACCATAGTAAATTTTTGTTAGGGTAATAATTACTTGGTCACGAAAAACTGTACATCTTCTTTTTTACTTTATAAGGCTGAAACTGAAAGATTATATACCAGAGATATTGTTCCATCCTCACATTAAATATTGAAATTGTTTTAGATGATTAATAGTTGCTCCAAATACCACCTAAACACCTTGACGTTTGCATGTACATTAAATACAATACTAAAAATTGCACAATGCTTTATTTAATGATATCTGGATCAAAGAAAAATATAAGTACGAGATATTATTTTCGACATGCATGAATGCATAAATGTTGATGCACAAATGCACCCAAAGACAGGATATGCTTTGGGCGTTTGTCAACAAAATGCATCTAGGTTTTTCCTTCACACCTATAATTTTTCTATAAAATTTTAGAAATACTGAAGGCTTTAACTCTCAAAAAAAAATTCTCGAGCAAAACCATATAGTTAATCAAAGTACCAAAGTATTTCCTATAGTAAACTATAGTAAATTTTTGTTAGGGTGATAATTACTTGATCAAGCAAAACTGTACATTTTTTTTACTTTTTAAGGCTGAAATTGAAAGATTATACATGTATATAATGTCCATTTAATCAAGGGTCATTTCACAAACACGATTTAAATGTGGCTATTTATTATGAGCGGTATAGTGTAGTGGCTAGCATGTTAGTCCGAAGAGAAAATTGATACTGAGGATTTTTATTGCTTGGGTTCAAACACCAAGAATACCACTTTTTTTAAAGTCAAAGAATGATTTTTGCCGAAAGAATTTCCGCAGAGAAGTTTTGCTCGTCATAATTTCATACCTTTCAATGATAAGAACTTGGTAAAAATTCACAAACTGAATATGAATAATTTTATAAATTTGACAGTGTTGGAAGCTAAAGGTATTTTGCAAGCCTTGTTCGCCCATCTCTTTGGAAGGAGAAAAAACCCAGCTGCGCGTGTATTTTTTAAAGCACACCAATATATGCACAATAAACCTGAAGTAATGCACTGTAAAACTTGTAAAAACAATTTCCAATTACATGTACCTACCGTAGGAATGGAACAAACAACCAGCCTCTTTGCTATGTTTGTCCATATGCATTCAAATATACAGTTAATGCTTATCGAGAAACCGCGTCAAACGCTGTAAAATCCATACCTTGTACCGGTTTGTATCACAGATTGAAAAAAAAAACAACAACGAACTCCATAAAACTCAACAATAAACACATTGGCACTTTACCATACAGTCTAGCACTTGGATACACTTAGTCCGTGCTGATCAGATTTTGGTCAGGGAAAATATCAAAAGAGAAATAGAATTAGCATTTGTGCAACTGGAAAAAAACGAATTAAAAAAAATAATAAGAAATCACTAATAAATTCTGATGATTGGTGTTCACGAAGTATAACAGAAAATTATCTAAGTTCTTAAACATGTATACATTCTTTGTGTATAATGCATTTCAGGATTCATTTATCAAGGCAATTTTTAATTGGTGATTTTTGTAATTATCTAAAACTAAACTGCATGAGTAATGTGGTGTACGAAAATGATTTAGAACATGACGTGAAAACAGTTGAATAGAATACAAACTATTTCTGGGGTAGGAAACGGACACTTAGTTGTCAGAAACACGTCGCTTTCCCTTCTTGTTAATTGTCTTAACGATTAATTATAATACATGTATTTCAAGACACAATACTTAAGCAGTCATATCTTTATCATTCATGTACATATACCAAAGAATCAAAATCATTTAGTGTGCATAAATTACTTTTATTTGTGATATTAGTTTATATATAAACAGTTGAAGCAAAACAGTTTATTGAACGTATTTAAATATATATGATCGAGGAAAAGTGCGACCTTTTTCCGACGTTCTTTGAAATA